CCAAATCTGGTCGGTTTAACAGTCGTTTAACAGTTTATGTCAGCGTTGGGTAGTTGTTTAATGGGCTGGGGTGTGTTTATTTGGCCAGATTGAAAGCAGTGGAGGGAGCTTGCTTTGCCCATAATGGACAGTGTGTTGATAACTCTGGGATCAGCTGAGTAAACTGAACATCTGGGCCCCCCCTGCTTGCTGTTTTCTGCTGGGTGGATGCTGAACAAATCCCTGAGGAGGCACAGTATGGATTTACTGACTGGGCTCACACGTTTCCACCATAATTACTGTGTTCCTTTCTTTAGATTCTTTTTAAAATCTCCTTTAAATGAAACCTGAGGTGAAGTCTAATCTGACATAAGGCACATTAGATTTCCCCTCTGCTGGCTTTTTGCCTTTCTGTCTCGGGAATTCCAGTCCATCAGACTAAAGATCTTTTCCTGACTGTTGTGATGTGGTGCTTTCCACGGGCAAAGTTCAGACCCTTCAGGCCTTGAGGATAATATTTAATGACACTAATAATGTTTACAGTTTTCTAGGAAAACTATGCAAATCTTCTACTCAAAGAACAGCAGCTCCAGCAGGTGACAAACCTGCAGCAGCTGTGGGCTGTGGGATCCTCCTCTCCTTGTGTATTCTAACAATTCCAGACTTTTCCTGTTGATTTTCCCTTCAGAACAAGTCTCGAGAAATGCAACTCTTGAGACAAAAACCTTGCCAAAACCACGACTACCTTCTACATCTTCCTCTTTTCTCTCAGCCTTGTATTCAGTTTCTGACGTCCCTCAGTTCCTGCAGTGCTGCTCTTGCCCAGTCAGGGAGTGGGGAGGAAGGAAAACAAAATCCAGGATGCTTTTGTGATCATTTGTGGCTTACGCTGGTTTCTCCTCTGTCAAAGTCTGAGGTGCTTGTTGGTACCAAAAAAAAAAAAAAAAAAAAAAAAAAAAGTTAAATTTCTTGGAGAAATTATGCACTGGCTTAGGGCTTGCCACTAAAAATGCTTTAAAAATACAAGAAGGTATAAATCCTGCTTGTATTTTCATGCTGGTGGCAGCTGCCTCAGAGGATAAAACATCATAGTCAACTGAAATGCATTAACAAATGTCTTGTCCAGTCTTAAGCTAAAACTCATCCAAGGCATTGAAATGACCTTTCTAGGAAGATAATTGATTGAAAATGTAGGTGTGAGGTTCAGTTAATGGCAAATTAACACAATGTGTGACTTGAGGATGAGAGCTGTTGGTAAAGTTCGCACCAGAGATTTCAGCAAAGTGCATCAAGGACAGATAAATTGTAAGATCAGATGTCTCAAAGGGACCTGTAGTTATCTGGGCTCACCCAAGGCTGAGTAAAAGAAGAAATATAAATTAATTTCCAAAAATGTAATTGCTGCACTTGCTTTCATTTGGCAACTTGGTGGTTGCTGCTTTTAAGTGTCTGTAGGGCTTGATCACAGTGATGGTAAAATTGTTCCTTTTGTTGTTATCTCAGATGAGTCAAAATCAACCTGTTGCTAAATCCAGGGAATGAGCCTGTTGGAGAACAGGCTCTGAATTCAGGCCAGGAGCCCCTGGGATGGTGTCCCATGGGATGGTGTCCCATGGGATGGTCCTGGAGGGACTGACCTGCTCGTTTGCAGTGGGAGCAGCGCGGTGGCACTGGGGGTGATTGATTGGTTGATGCTTTGGGAATTTAGTCAGGTCATTGTTGGTATTCTGCATACATAGAATTCTCGTAATTTTCACACATAATTAGTATTTGAATTACTGGTGTTATGACAGTGTTGGTATTAAGACCTTGATGCTCCCACCATGTGTGACTTCAGTGGGTGATAACGTGGCCTCAGCTGAGCAAACCCTACACACAAATCACCCAAATCAGAGCCCACAGGGAGCCTCCCTGGTAAATTGAGAAGGAGCTTGTACCCATGGAGGGGCTTATGGTGGCACAACTGTTCATATACATCCTCCTTACAGAACACCAAGCTCAGAACCAGCAGTAGAAGTGAGCTGTTGTTCCAGCTGGGAGCAGGGTTGTGTGTTTTCATCCTAAGTGGGTCAGAAGCAAATTCATCTGCTTTTACTGCAGCCTCTGCCTTGCCAGTTTTGCTTTGCCTTCCCAGCCACGGCTCTTAACCTGAGTCACTCAGGTCGTTTTCCCTTTGCAGAGGTTTAGAGTGCAGAAGACTGCAGTGCAACTCCAAACAGCTGGGGAATAATAATGTATTTTGGTTAAAAGCAGCCCCTGCAAGAGCAGTGCCTGTGTGTAAAGTCTGTCATGGGAGCACAGGCAGGCTGAGCCTTCCACCACCCTCTGTGATTTGGACTATTCCTGTGGGAGACAAAAGTTCCCATCCCATTCCCTGCTTGGACTCCTGCAGGAGCTGGAAAAACGATTTCCGGTAGGAGCAATAATAGCCTGGGCTGTTGGTTTTGATCATCAACAGACGTTTAAAAGTCATCTGAGGAAAGATGTGCCTTGATTAAAGGCAGGTTTTGCTTAATGCAGTCATAGCTGATCTCTCCCATCTGGTGTCGTGTATTCGATGGGATCTCTCTCCCTTGCCTGGGGTCCAGTTCCCAAGATCCCACAGGAGTTCCTGACTTTCCCAAGAGACTTTCCAGTGGGTCAGCTCGCCCTGTTACCCTGGTCATTGCTCTGCTTTTCTTTTCCCCCAGAGAAAACTCGGGGAGGTTGCTCAGCAGAGAAGATGAGGTGATGATGTGGTTCCCCAGAAGTGTTTGGAATTGCAGCTGTGCCTTTGCTAACTGTGTGCCTGGTGTTTGTTACGTCCCAGATCCCCACATTTTACCTGTGGGATTTGGATGTTACGTTCTACCTGTGGAATATAAAAAGGCAGATTGTGTGGCCGCATTTCCCGGGGTTTATTCCCTAAATTGCCGGTGTTTAAGGTCGCTGCTTAATCCTGGGTGCTTTGCTTCCTGCACCCATGGGGTGGTCGCTGTCAGGGGCTGTCCTGAGGTGGGGACAGAGCCGGGATCCTCACAGGATCCAGGCCTGGAGCAGCTGTCAGGGCTCAGGTTTTAGTGAGGAGAGATGTAGGTATTTGTGGTTTGGCTTTTTGTGTGTTTTGTGGATTGCTAAAATATGACCTTTCCCACTAAAAAGGCTGGATTTTATCCCAAATCCTGTGGGTTTCACACAGGATCAGATTCTCCCGGCGCTGGGGTTGATGGTGTTTATGGAAGGCACAGAAAAACCACCCTCTGTGTGCAGAGCTCACCTCTCCCAGGTACAGGGGAATCACACACTGGGATCTCCTGGAGTTGCCTGTTTTCCATGTGACATAAATACCACCCACCAGGTCACGGCAGCTACACAGGAAATCCCAAAAAAAGCCCTGGGAGCGTTTCACAGTGTTTGGGATTGTAACCCTTATCTCGCTCCTCTGATCTATTTTCCCTGGTGATTCCCAAAGGGCTCGGGCCGGGCGGATGAAGGTGGAACGTGACTCAGTTCTTAACTAGGGATACTTGGGATCTCCTGTAAATGAGGAACACAAGAGCTGAGATCCAGAGAGAAGCTAATCCTGCATTTCTGGTACTGGCAGCCTGGAGCTACAGAGATCAGCAGATGCTCCCAGGGCTTGTAATGGATATCAGACAGGGGCTATTGAGAAGGAAAGCCTGGAAAACTTGGTTGATGTTGTTATCAGAGGGGCATAATTCCCCAGGGAGTAAAGCTGGAAGAGGATCCCTGCTCTGCTGGGCAGGTGACCCTTGATCAGCCACTTTCACAGTGTCACTGTCCCTTCTGTGTCCTTGTTCCCAGGGTAGATCCTGGTTTGTTATCCCACAGTAAATACAGTACTGGATGCTGGGCAGAAATTAAAACTGGCGAATTCCATGTGTTTTATGTCATTTGGCACATGGTGCACAGCCCTCCTCCAGCCTGTCATAAATTCCTAACCCAGAGCAAGGTCACATCTGGGAGCGATTTCCCTCTGCCAGATGAGGCGCAATCCCATAAAACCGGACTCATTCTCTCCAGCGCCGCTCCACGACTGCCTCTCCTGCTCCTTTTCCTACAGACCTGCCCCGGGAGCCCTGTGGGATGGTTGGGGCTGAGAGACTTTTCACACTTTATAAACTGTGAGTTCTGGAGCCCAGCTCTGTGTGCAGTGCGTGAGGCAGGACGAGCAGGGTGCAGGCTCTGGCTCCCTCCTGATTCCTTTTCCAGCAGCACATTCCCTGCAGGATGCTGTGTTGTTCCTCAGTGTTTGGTGTCTGTGCATCCCCTCGTACTCTGAGTAACCTGTCCCCTACAGAATCCACGGGGAGCTACAAGTCTGCTCTTTTTTTACGTGCTTTTAAACCAGTTCTAGCAAAAGTTCTGAGTCCTGAGTAATTCAAGATACACACTTTGAACGGTCAGATATCAGAGGGACTGACAAAGGAATGGAGCAACAGTCAACCTTTGCACGTTGTAGTAGCTGGAAATAATTCCCAGCGACATGGAAGTTTAATAGGAGTCAGTAGTTTTGTGTTTGATCACGTTTCCATTATCCCATATTTTGGGAACTGTGGTTATTTTGGTATCTCACTGCCTTTTTTACTCTGTGCTTCCCAAGGCCTCTGTGGAGCTTGGTGACCCTCTCAAAAGGAATCTCCAGCCAGAGTGTTCCAGTTGGGTTCCTTCCCTCACAGAGGGGAGGGGGTGAAAGGGGGATGTATTATAATGTCTTATTAAATCACCCTCACAGAGGGGAGGGGGTGAAAGGGGGATGTATTATAATGTCTTATTAAATCAAATTAACAGAACTTAGTTAAAATAAAAAAAAATGTTCAAGGTTTCCCGGGTCTTGCACAAGGAGCTCCAAATTAAAAAACAGGTCAGAACTTTAAACAGTGAGTGTTGTTACTCTTAACTATTACTGTTGATCATCACACATGTTAATCATGAAATCCACTGGGACTGGGGAGCCCTGGCTGGAAATCACCTCGTGTGCTGTGATCTTTGTGACCCCATTTGAGCCTTTTTCTTCACAGGCCAAGTATCCTGAGGTCGTGACCCTTCCAGAAGGACTGCAGGGAGATTTTATAATCCTGAGGAACCCCAAAGTTTCTGGGTAAGCCAATAAATGCATCTCTTGACTGATACACCCCAGGGACTGCACAGGCAGGGCAGGAGGTGCAGGGATCCCACTCACATCCCAGTCACATCCCAGTTCCTTGGTGTCTTGCCATTAAAGAATGGAAAGGAAATGGCAGTTACCATGTCACTGTGGCTATACTTTTCCATTGTTTTAGATGGAAATCCTTTAGATGAGGGAATTACTACTCTACCAGGCTTGTGGGATTTGTTTGGGCTCCCTGTGGGATGTGTTCCACCACGTTTGGGGTTTCCAATAGGGAAAAAAAAACCCTTGAAGTCACATGTAAGACAATATAATTATCACTGTCAGGGCCAAGAAAAATAACTGTTTTGTGAAGGGATCAGAGCATTCCCTTCTCCTCTTACATCCTGCTATAACATGCTTTAATTTATATGGAAACAACTGGAATCTGAGCACAGCTCCCTCTGTGGCATTTATGATCTAGCAAATAAACCCTGAGAGATGGTGCTGTCTTGGTTCAGCCAAACCTGCCATTTAAAAATAAATGCTTGAACTGTGGCTTGTTGGAATGAATTGTTCTTAGACCATCAGGGTTAGGGAATTACCTGCTTTGTTCAACAGTTTCTGTGTCACCAGGTGCCAGTTCCATTACACACATTCCCTCTGGCCCCCAGTCCTGAAACACAAGAATTTCCAAGTCATTTCAGTGGCATAAAAATTTTGTTTGCAAAATTCCAGGGCAAGCTGTGCACAAATTCCCAAAGGATTTGTAACAATCAAGGGGCAAAAGGCTGACAAATCACATTGGAAGGGAATTTTTACAGTTATTTTGGATCAAACACCATTGAGAAAGGGGAGCTTCCTCCTCACAGTGACCTGCTGTGCAGATCAGCTTTGGATCAGGAACACCTTACCTTCAGTAAGGAATTCTAGGCTTGGAGGGTAATCAAGATGCAGTAAAGAAGGGCTGTTGTAACACAGGAGATCTGCTCTGACGTTGTTCCAGACCAACCTCCTGCCTGGCTGTTCCCTTGGGATGGTGCAGGGATCTTGTCCCACAGCAACACTCAGTGCTCTGCTCTGCCTTCCTCTCTTGCTCTGCCCCACTGCCCTGTGCAAAGAAACCATTCATAAGAGACAAAGACAAGAACCAGGGGAAAAATCCTTGAGGCTGAAAGCTTGGAGGTACCCAGGAGCTCTCCTTGGCAGTAGATTATTGGCTTTGCTCAGTTAATTAAATGCTCCTGGATCCTGAATCCAGAGAGGGGTGAGTTGCATTACATGAGGTGAGCTTAACTGGAGAGCAGGAGCCTCTCAAATGCTGCAGCTTCTGCTTTGGAGGAACCCCAAAACCAGTGCCCTGGTTAACCCTGGACTGACCTTCCTGTGCTCCCGGTACAGGTTTGAACTGATGGTTGTCTGGAAGATCCATCTGGACGAAGAAGGGACAACTACACCTGTCCTGGACCTGCTGACCAAAGTCCCAGAGCAAGGTAACACCAGTCACTTCAGGGGCTGTTCTGGGCTGACATCCCTTTAGAGAACATGGAAACCCAGGCAGGCAAACAAACCCCGCCTGAGCAGCAGCCACACCGTCACCTCCTGTGTGATTTACACACCCTGTCTGTGTGCAGGGGCTTCACCCCCTGCCAGCTCTGGGAAAACAACCCTCACTGTTCCGTGTTTCCTGCAGTGCTGGAGCAGAAGATGACGAGAGTTGAGAGCGTCCCTGCCCGCTTCCGGAGCATGGTGCTGCTCCTTGGGATCGAGGCAACCCTGGAGAACCTGATCAAAGTGCTTGAATGAATGAATGCCAGCATGACTTACAGCAGGTAGCAATTTCAAAAGTAGTTTTAATTAAGATATTGTGTTACACGGTCTATAATTTTATTGAATATAAACATTAAGTTATTTTCCATTTAGAAACCATACTCATAAAACATGCTATCTGTACAATTATGGCACGTTATATATAAATTGTCATGACATGAAAATAAATACAGCCATTTAAATACAAAAATGCCAAATAAAATAGTTACATGTACAGAGTGATTTCATTATAAATTCATCTTTCTGAATCATTAATGTACCAGAGTGGTTTATCATCTTCTTAACATTTTCTAGATACCTGGAAATTGTTAAAAGATCATGCACTGTCAAAATCAAGTCCATAAAAATCCATTTCATTTCACAGCTCTGTAAAAGTACAGTGATTTTAAAATGACAAGAGAACAGTAAGAGACTCCTAGAACAAAGAGTTAAACAGCTTTCTCCTTAAATTAGGGTGGAAGAAGACAATTTGAAGATTTCAAAGACATAACAATGGTAAAAAACCCAAGTGTAACTGTCTGAAGTAACTTTGTTCCACAGTGGAAGTGTTGAGACAGCTTAAACTACCCCAGAGAGGCCCCATTCCCCTCCTGGGAAGGGGTGGCTGAGTGACCTCCTGCCCCCTGCAGCACTTGCTGCTGCCAGGGGGGAGCTCTGGGAGGTAACACCTCACCAAAGCTTCACATGTCATACATTCATCCCTGAAGAAACAACATGGATCAGACAGATGTCTCACCTCTCCCTTCACTTCCCTCAGATGTGCCATCGGCCCGTTTAGGAACTCTCTGTGTTTTTCCAGAGTTCCTGCTCTCCCCATCCCAACCAAACCATATCAACCCCAAACTGAAGTCAGGTCCTTCCCTGGGGAGGGAGTAACAGCTCTTGGAACCAAGGGCCCAAACCCACGAACTCTGGCTCTCAAAGGATACTGAGACTCCTTTCCAAGGCCAGAGCTGCTGAAGCCACCCCAGGGATGGCAAAATATTGTACAGCAATGGGGAAACTGGAGAAATCAAGAACTGAAGCAACAGTATCTTTATAATGCCATAAAATGTCACAATCCTCTGTTTGATCACTGAACACTCTCCCACTGTTCTGGTAGGTCAGGAAAAACTGCCAGACTGTACAGCTGAGCCACACCACAGATTAGGTTCTGATGAACAGCAACTCTCTAAGGAAATCTTCTGTTAGATAAAGCCAGGCTAATTTCAGGTCTGGAGTCCAGCAGACAGGCAGAATTCATTACTACTTACCCACTGCCCTGGAACTGGTTTAGCTGGTTTTGTGTAACCTTTAGTTCAGTTCATCTTTAGCTCCTTCCTGCCTGAAAACAGAACTGTGTGCTCAGCACAGACGCTTCTGTTTGTGCGCAAAGTTACAGCATAAAAACCTGGGAACTTCCCACCTGTGGATGGTCCGTCCTTCCTCCTCTTTCTAACAGCTGGAGGGTTTCTGGATTTAGAAGTGGCTGCTCTCTCTCTCCCCCCCAGGTTTTCTTTGGAGAGAAGGGATTATTCCCACTGTGAGCTGCCAGGTTGTTGCACTGTTGTAGTGTCACATCTCCCATCCAGGACAGCAGCTCCAGGCCCTGTCCCAGAAGGCACGTGGCAGTGGATCCAAGCTGGCAGTGCCAGCCCAGGTCTCTGTCCCTGTGGGAATGGTGTCACTCTGTGTTTCACATTTCCTCCTTGAGTTGTGCCAATGTGCAGGGGGTCCTGGGCCGGCCTTTTGAATTTCAGGGGCAGTGGAACAATTCAAACATTACACTGAGAGCCCACCATAAATGTGATTTTAGCAGTTAACCCACACACCTCTGGACAACATTAATGCTGAGCACAGGCTGCAACCAGGTCACAGCCTGGGGCTTGAGGAGCATCTCTGCACCTTTCAGGGTGTGCAATCCCTGAGGGGAAAGGGGCTGTAGAGTTCATCATAGTACCCTCAGTTTTGAAAATATCCCCACTCTCCAACTCAGGATCTTGCTCAAGGATGGCTTTAGTGCAGCCCCTCACCAGACTTCAGCTGCACACAGCACTGCTTACAAAGGAAAGCCATCACAAAAAACACAAGCTCACCTTGGCATGAGACCGACCCACTGCAGCTTCCGGGAGAAAATGGGATGCTGTCACCTCTTTTCTGTGTCACTTCAAATGAAGGAGCCTGAAAGCAGCTGCTCGTGCTGCACAGTGTGTGGGGGCATCAGTGTAATGATGCCAATGTCTGACACCATCTGAAAGACCTGAAATGATCCGTAAAACTCACAACAAATTCTTCTTGTAGCTCAGTTTAAATTAGGTGAGAGCGGGCTGTGGCTTCACCTTCAATAGCAGCATATCATGTAGGGACAATAAAAACCAGGATGGCAGGAGAGTTAAGCCCAGCTATGACATAAAACTCAGAGGTGTTTACCTTAACCCTTAGCACTTCATTTCAGAAGCTTTAGGTAGATACAAGATGATCACAAAACTTCTGGAGGCAGCCTGGTGTTCCTAATCCATGCATTTAGTACTTAAGTGTTCTGCAGTGACACAGGGCAGTTCCACAGATCAGCCACTGCACAGTTGTGTTTTCAGTGGATTAATGCTAAAATGTTGTATCCGGATTTGCCAGAGCATTCCCTCCTCCAGGAAGGATGAGTGAGACTCAAAGCACAGGCTCCAAGGCAAATTCTCTTGTTAGTAATTAGGCTCTCTATGTTAGTGCAATACTTCAGGAAACCTTTAAAACTGTGCTCTTTCAATTCTAAGTAGACTTTTTGTATTAATTTGCTCTGTCCTCTAGTTCCAAGGTATGGCACGTTACCTGTCCTGTCACATTAAATACATTCATTAAGGTTATCTAGCAAATGCTCTCCCAGGGCTCTGAGAAGGCATCACCCATTAAAAATCATTTCATAAAGCAAAAACATTCACAGCTGAAAAATGCACTGAACACAATAGAAAAGAAAAAAAAAATCACCATAACTGTATTCCATTACTCTTTCACTTTCTAATGTGTTTGAATAAAAATAACCTCAAGGAAATGGTTACACTTTGTGGAGAACTAATGTGCAGTCTTCATTCTCCTTGAAGAGGTTGGACATAACAGGGTCCTCTTTGGCCTGTACATTCTTCAGGTAATAGTTGACTATCTCCCCATCCAGTTTGTACTGGTGGGGAATGCTCTCATAGGGCTTCAGGTCCAGGTCCAGCACAGAGACGGAAAAGGTGAATCTGGATTTGGATGTCAGTACCACAGATCTTTGCTCAGGGCTGGAAAACAAAACCACATTGCACATCTGAGTCACTGAAACCAGGATTTTTAATTTATGTGTCCCAAGTCCCCCTTGCAAAAGTGACTCTAATGTTTATCTCAGAACTTTCATGGGAGCCCAAGAAAATAAACTGCAGCTCCAGCTTTACCAGTCCTAATGGGAACTTGGTGGGATCTCTTCCAGTCGTTTTCCTTTCAGCTTCCACATGTCAAACATCACTCCCAACTGCTGTGCCTCTGTATTTAGTAAATCTAAGCTGTTTCTAGGTGGTGCATACAAAGCAACAGCCTTATTAACTGGCAAAAGCAGAAGGAGCCACTGCAACTCCTGCTTAGCTTCAAGGAAAGAAAACACTCAGTGTGGGAACTGCTGTCCAAGCATGCTGAGGGATGGAGGATTTCTGAACTCAGCCATTGCACAACTCATGTCCATCACCAACACTTCACTCAGGAACTGCAGGGCACGCGCACCAAACAATATTGTCTAAAAATACAAGGGTCTAGTAAATCAGCTCCCCCCTGCAGACTGTGACTGCTGACATGAGCCAAAATGGATGACACTGCAGCAAAGCCTCCTGCCTGACAGCCACAGATGTCACCTCTCAATTACTGCCTTGGTTTTACTGTAATTAGGCCATTAAAGGCAACTCAGCTTGAAAAATCCCTCATATGAGGACACCGAGGCAGAAAAATTGCACCTGTTTAAAACCACGTAGAGCTACAATAAACAGTCAATTCAAAGTTCAAGAAGAGCATGAATATAAAACCTTAACCCTTTTGATCAACTTAAAACTCTTCAGAAAATAGGCATGGGTTTTAAATGCCATAAATCAGAACTCTATTAATATGTTCACAGCCAAATATGTGGAGACACCCCCCACACCCCAAATCCCACACTTTTTTTAATTACTGAGTTGACTGAAATGTGCAAACAACATCTCCAGTTTCTAAACAACTGGAGCCATTCCAAAGCAGGTACAGGCAGCTCTTACCACTCATCCTGCAGACAGGGGGAAAGGGCAATCATGATGGAGCAGTCTTTAGCAGTCATGGCTATTCTGTACTGCTGCACCTGTGCAACAGAGAAATAACACACATTTTCTCTTTATGTTTCTGTTTGCCTGTAGTAAAGCATCCTGTTCCTCCCATGTATTGGGATGTTGGCACTGTAAGAGCTACAAATCCTCTCTGTAACAGACGGTTGGCAGGAGCAGGAGGGTTTGCAGCATCCTGTATAAGAACTGTGTTTATTTCCTACAGATTGTTTTCTTAAAGGCCAAACCAGCACCAGTTCATGAAAATGCTTCCTCAGTCTAGAGAGCAAATAAGCAGCTTTATTTATTTTTTAAGAACTGGTGCTACATGTCTGTTTGTAGCTGCTTCTGCTACAGACATGCACCCTGGCACAAGGAACAACTTGAACTGTCCAGATCCTGATGAGCCAGTGGTGCTGCCTCCATCCATTATCCACCCCTTTCAGTGAGACAGCTGCTAATTAACCCTGACAGAGCGAGCCAGGTGCTAATTAACACTGACAGAGTGAACCCCCCTCCCCCCCGTGGGCAGAGGTACCTTTGTTAACGCGAACGCCACCGTCCCGTCATCCTCCGGGGAAAGATCCAGCAGCTTCTCATAAAATGCTTCGTTGTAAGGTCCATCTATCTGTAAGGTACTTCTAAATAAATGTTAAAAGAAGATTTACAGACAGCCAAGAAAATTTACTTTTATTTATATATATAAAAATATAAACTGGGAGTACAGGCGTATCTGGCAGGGCCCTGCTCTGCCCCAGCTTTGTACCGTGTGCCCGTGGGGGGTGGCTTGGCCTCCTTCCTTCCCCTGTTAAACACCTGAACCCCTGCCGAGGAGCTGAGCCCCTCACAGTGGGGTTTGCAGCACACAAAGCCCCTGCAGCCCAAAGAACACAGTCCCAAAGTCTTTGTTTCACATGTAACTGCACCAGCAGCGGTGACTCCACGAGTGAAGCCAGAGTGCCCTCGTGTGAGCAGCGGCAGAGGCACAGCCGAGGCACAGCAGCCCAGGGAAGGCTTTGGGTAGCAATTATTGTTACACCAGTAAGGCTTATTTGGGGAAAAAATGGAGCAGCTTTCAATGCCCAGGCAAGAAATGCCATAAGATAAAGCTGCTTGTTCCTCAGGTATGATTTGAGCACTTGTGATGTGGGTCACAAGCTGGCATTTGGAGCTGCTCTCACAGGAGGGACAACAGCAGATCCACACCTTCTGCAGGACCCTCAGGCACAGGCTGGATTGCTGCTAAATACTGGATTTTAAGGGCAGGTTATAGCTAAGCCAATAGAGACCTGAGAATGACTGTGAAAACATCATTATCCCTGCAGACAATCCAAGCTCTGCAGGGACTGGGGACAGGAGAAACCCACCACCCATTTCACTGTGCCCTTCTGCAAATACACAACCTGCACTACTCGGGAAAAGGGAAATTTTTCTTTCCTACCTGTTGTGAACTTCCCATAATCATTCCTTAAAAATTCAGGCCAAAGTGACAGACACCAACACTTAGAACAATAAAACTGATCTTTTATGTTATCTGGCAGTTCAAGTTAGAAATTCAGAACTGAATTTCATGCAGTGCCATGAAGGAAGGTTGTACAACATTAACAAGGCAAGAGCCAGTCTTGCCTGCACACTGGGTTACTCGGAACTGAAAAGAAAAGCCATCAAGTCTTACCTCTCTTCAGGAAATTCCTCCAAGTACTGTTCAACTCTACTGTACAAAGGATAGAGTCCTTCAATATCCAGCATGTCAAGCATCTGAGCCTGAAGGGTTTTATAAAGGAGACAACCCCTCGGTAAGCCAGAGCTTTCCAATTTGTGTTTACCTAGAAGAAAATGGATTTTAAAATAAGGCAGACACGAGTGTGTTCTTTGCTTCAATTGGCCAGAACATGTGCTTGTCCACAACACAAGGCCAAATGCTTCTGGTCCAGTCACACACAGGGAGTGGGAAACCTTGAAACATTTCAGTTTCCAAACACTGAAGTGGCTGGTGCACATTTAAACTGCAGGAAAAAACACCTGGGATACAGCTCCAAATTACTCCAAAAACTAAACACCAAAACACACCCACGTCCTGCAATCTACTTGAGTTCACAAGAGAAATTTCTCATCTGAGTCTCAAGCCACCACAAATTCACTTTGAACGGTATCAACTTTTTTTATCAGAAAGTAATTCAGCATTTTAGTTATCCTGTCTTTTTGTTATGTAATATAAAGAGATTTGCACTTGCTGTAATTTCTGTGAGACAGCTCCCTCTCCAACACTACAACAAACCACCAGCAGTGAAAAAGGCCTTCCTCAAAGAGCAGAGTGAGAAACATGTTGTTTGTGTAATAAAAGTAACTGGCAGCATCTTGACTTGTTAGAGCTTCAGAGAACTTCTGCACTGAGGGATTATCACTGGTCACAGTTTTCCAGCTCTCACTTCCCACTCCTTTCCCCTCTGGTATTCAGACCTCTCTTTTTACCAGAAGAGCAGTAGAACATGAGCTGAGGAACAGGTGTCATGTAACACACCAACCAAAGCAGCCCAGCTTCATCACATATAACATAAAAATTCCCCCTTCATTTGGAATCCCCATGATTGTTATCAGCTCACACTGGTATTTTCTTCCATTTTTCCTCCACCACCTCCTGGATTTATTTTAACCTGTCATTAGGCACAGTGCTAAAAGTGTTGACTACAACGTCACATTAAGGGCAATTATCTGCCAGCCACACAGCTCAGAACTCGTTTTTTAAATGTCACTACAACCCCACTGTTTCCATTCCCACATCAGCACCCATAAGCAAACAAGAGACAAAGATCTGAATCGTTACATCAGACACTGTGGAAGTGGAAGGTGTCCCTGCCCATGGCAGGGGGTGGAGTAGGTGGCCTGTAACGGTCCCTTCAACCCAAACCACTCAGTGATTCCGTGTCCATTGCTGGCAGTGCTTGAGGAGTTCTTCCTTACCGTTTCTAACCAGCTCCTTATTGAAAGCACTCGCTTCACAGTAGCTTCGTCCTTGTGAGATGGGCACTGTCTTCATGTCACCCGCCCTGCAGGTGTCGGTGCTGCTCAGTAGCGTCATGGTTATCACCTGGATCAGTTCTTTAACAATTGTCCTTGTGCAGTGGGGGCCACTCACCAGCCCGTTGGAGGGGAAAAAGAAAGGTTTTAAGTGACGAGCGAGTTCGTTCCAGTCAGAGACAGAGTCCTGGTCATCCTTACAGCCATAAATTAGTTCACCATTCTGAAAGGGGGGGGTGAAAAATGAAGAGTCTTTAGGCACTTGATGAAATCAAGTTCTTCATACTGAGCATTGGATTTAATATTTTAATCACACAAGAGTGTTCTTAGCTTAACAATCCCCACACAAATACAACATTCCCGCTCTCTTACAAATTGCCCTCTTAAGTTTAATCAGATCCCACATGTAGCAACCTCTGAATGAGCAGCAAAAACCCCATTTAAACCAAGTGCTGCTTTCCCAACTTAATTAACTGTAAGGAATCAGAGCAATACAAGTGATCTGATACTTGGCACATTTTCCTATCACTTTTTTCTGAATAATGTCAGGAGTGAAAAGGGACCGTGTGAAACAACCTTCTTTTAGCATTCAGACTGGCAAAGGGAAGGCTGTGAAAGGGGACAGAAAAGGTGTGATAGTTACCTGTGCTAATAGAAAAAACAGGACAGTTCAGAGAACTTTAGTAATTCAAGTAATTGACTTAATACTGGAAATAATTTGCAAAGAGTCTTGTTTCCTAGAATTAATCCGAAAATCTCCATAAGCCATCAGTTACTGCTTTATATTTTTTCTACATTAATGCCATGGCAAAGGGAACTTTTTCCCTCCCCAGTGTGCATTTGGCCTGCATCAGTGTTCAACAGGAATTTAAAAACAAAATATTTGCAGCAACATGCAAAGTTCTCCATCTTCTTCCTCCTGAATTTTTAAAACTTTAGTCAACCTTAAAAGTCCTTTTCTCTTAGTTGTTCCTCAGCAATTCTTTTAGACTAATTTAATTCCCCGGGGCAGTGGTCACAGCACCAAGGCTGCCAGAGCTTGAGGAACACGTGGACAAGGCTCTCAGGCCAGGAATGGGACTTGGATGATCCTTGTGGGTCCCTCCAGCTCAGGACATTCCATGAGTCTGTGATTTCTGGGAAATTATTACTTATCTGTCCTAACCTGAAATCTAATTCAGAATTTTCCCATTTCCTACTTTTGGTGGGGTCCAAAAATGACAGTACTGATTAGGCAGGTTTGACTGTTTACATGCTGAAGGCAAATTGTTTAAAAGCCAAGGCAAAAAAAAAGCAAATAGAGATTTAACTGTTTACCTTAAATATTTTCAAGTTGTTCTGTGCCTCCTGTAATAAGCTCTTCAAAGCAAAGTGCATTCTCTGTTTGTTTCTAGGGAAAACAAAAAATAAAGCCAAGAATGTTTTATCCCAGCCTTTGGTTGTTCACACCTGGCATGAGCTGAGGTCACTGCAAAGGCAAAGTGAGCTTCAAACCTGAGTAAAGCAAACAGCTCTTGGCTGCAATGTTATGCAGCAAAAGGCACTGGCACATTAATAAGCAGCTCTGATTCCTGAGATAGGTGTAAATAGACAGCACCAGAAATATTCACTGTAAAGGTCAGACAAGCAGGCACGGATTGTCCTTAATAACCTCAGCAAAAGGCAAAGGAATCTGAGAAGATCTACCAAAAAAAACCCCTGTGTTACAGATTCCTTTTGGGAGAAAGGCAGAATCCTTACCCTGAGAAGAGATCCAACGGGCAATATTTACTGGGCCGCTTCCATTTCCCGTTTGCTACCTGTGGAAAACCAGAGCACTGCTGTTAACCCCTGTCCCTGGAAGAACTGCCCTCTCATTTTAACAGGTGTGTGCACTGACATCCTGCCTTCAGAGGTCCCACGGCATTTCAACCTCTTTGAACACAAAATTCATGACCACTGCGGGTCTTTCCTGGTCATTTTTCCAGTCCCTCAAAAAGCACTCACAGGGGGAGGAAGGCCCCATTAAATCAGGCAGGCCCAGTCACCCCATTCCAGGCTCACAGGGAACTCTGTGCCTGTGACAGGCTGTTTGTTGGAAGTCACAGAGTGCACTGGGTGAGCTGATCCCAAAAAGGAAGTTCCACAGCAGAGTTTTACCCAAGCCCAGCGTTCACAGTCCCCAAAGAGTGATATTGTGTTCGTTTGCTTCCAGCTTCCCACAGAACTTGTTCCATCTCTCACTAAACAAACTCACACCCAGCAACTCAAGCTGTGTATCCACCTACCAGCTTTAGTCATATCAGGGGATTTGAGCAAGTTTTAACAGGAACCCAAGCCTGGATCAGCAAATAAAGCACAGTCCAGCCAAGGGGAAGTAGGATGATTTAATAATTACCTTTAGATGCTGATGCATACAGTAACGACACACCTTGTGCTTTATCTCCTGTGAAACATGGCTGGAAAAGGGAATGAAGCCACACTTTGGCTAAAACAAACAAACAAAAAAAGACTGTAAATATAAATGTATCTCTCCGTAGAAATAGAAGCACACCCAAGATGCAAATCTTTCCAGTTAAAGGAAAGAAAAAGTCCAGCACTTAAAAGCTGAATGCTACTCTCAATTATTTCAGAGGACTAAATTATTTTAATAAATAAGGACACGAAACTGCTGTGGCCTACAGAAAAGCCCAGTAACACCCAGGAATTTCCCAAGTTTTGAAAGACCGGGAATTAGTAGAGGGGTTACAGTGAAAAGTGAGCCTCATCCCACTGCTGCGTTCCTTGAACTGCTCTGGCCAGTATTAAAAAAGGCCAACAAGCCCCCAGAGAAGCCTCTCCCCCCAAACCTTGATCTCGATGCAGAGCAGGGGCCGGTGCTCGGCCAGGCGGTAGCTCTGCGGCCTCGTGAGGTTGGGAAGGCACATCGCGAACCCGCTCAGCGTGTCCATGTCCTTGTCACAGCGACACTCTGGGGGAGCAAAGGAAAGCCAACACAAACATGAGGATCAGCTGTGTGCACCTCTGTTTGCCCTGCAGCCATCCCTGGGGTGGGGGAACAGAGCTGGAGGCACAGGACGCACAGTTTGGGAGGCTTTAGCCAATTATGCACTTGCACAAATCTGCCCTCCCCGTTCCCAACACCCAGATTCAGTTTCCTCAAAACTGTCCCGGGCACATGGGCTGCTGTAAATGGCCAGCTCCCAGCTCCTCCCAAGAAAGGTGAGGCCTGAAACAGCAAGGAAATCCACTGGCCAACAACAGGTGAAGTGACTTATTAGTGTATTCATTCAAAGATGTGATCTTGTGTTTGCTTACTAAAGCTGCACAGCCTACCATTCCTCAGCTGGGTCAAGAGAAGTCTGTGAAAACTGCCAGGAATATCATAAACTTAGGAGGCATTATTTTAAAAAAGCCTTTAAATACCCTCTCTCCACGAGCATCCTTTGGGACACAGAAAGGTCTGTGAGATTTTAGTTACAAGTTAAGAAGAACACAGACCCCTCTACTTTCAAATCCTCTGTTACTACAGAGAGACACAGAACACACGTGTTCTGTTACAGTTTCCAATTGTGTTCTGTTACAGTTTCCACTGCTAAGAAAAATGCCCACTGTGAAAAAATACACTGCAATAGAAAAAATAAATGCCAGAAGTTGAAGCCTCATTAGGCACCGGCCTGCAGTGACCTGCTGCACATCACTGGGATGAGCAAGATACCTTCTGTCTCCAACAAAACACTGGGGTTTGATTTCTAAACTTAAGCAGAAGTACATCCACCTTCCCAGCTGTCCAATCAGACAGACCCAGAAATATGAATTATTAGAGAAGCTCCGTCATAAGTTAGACAGGCTTATGTGAAAGGTAAAATTGAAGGAAATTCTTTCCTCAAGGTTTAAAAAAGATTCCTGTTAAAAACAGACAGTGGGATTTGCTGCTGTAAAGCACTTGGACACCTCCTCACAACCACATTTCAATCCTCATCTGTGGACACACAAAGTTTAATTTCAAAAAATAAAACTAAATTCTATCATTCACTTCTACTAGAGTATCATTGATTTTTTTAAGTTTTATGAGATACTATTTACTTGAAACTATTTACTCTCCTCGCTGTTTTCTGGCACTGTTGGAACTGCTTCTCAAACAGGTGAGGACAAATCAACAATGGAGAGTGTCCTGTGTTCACTATATGTAAATTAATTCAATTTTTTTTCCCAGATCAAAGGCACCAAAACAATCACTACAGCACTTTGATTTAATGCCACGTTTTTCTTTAAGGATCTTTGCTAAAGCAGGAGTTCCTGGCCATTCTCAAAGACATCAGATGAGCACACCACGAGGGCCCTTTCCTTTGCCCGGTTTGGAGCTCAGCCACACGTGAAGAACATGCACCAGGTGCTGCCAACTGTGAGAGGTGACACCACGTTCTGGAGCACTTCCCTTCACACCAAACACGTCACAGGTTGCCAAACTTCCAGTGTTGCAGCACGTTCCCAAAGGTTTCACAAGGTCACCCTCCCCTCACACACTGTCCCCATCAGTCCCCCGTGTCCAGGGGACTAGAAAAGCACGGCTGCAACTGTCAATTCCCAAACACATCCACTTCCGTTTTTTCCACCACCAATTTCCAACTTAGCAATGCCTAAATATTACACAAAGTCTCCTTATATTCTGAGGTATAATGCTTTTTTACTTTAGGACAAAGGGAAGCTTGAGGAAGCCCCCATTTTAATGCACTTACCTGGCCTCTCTGGCTGGATTTTCAAACAGAGCTGTCTTACAAAGTCTAAAGGCAGTTGAATAATTTCCTATTAAAATAAAGAAAAAAAATATTTTAACACAAGAATTAATATTCAGTTTTGGGGGGAGTCTTAAAATGGAATTGCAAAGCTCAGTGGGTGTTAACAACAGTAGACTAAACTATACAAGTCAGCAGCTTCTCCCTCTGATGAACTGTGCAGATCTGTACCTGCAATCACAGGGAACACCTGCTCCACCATAAAAACAAAGAACTGATTTAAATAAATGCATGAGAAGGAGCATTTTCAGTGCAAGTTTAATGTGCATGAAGGAACCTGCATCATTTTATCCTCTTCACAAATGACAAAGTCCCTTTCCATCCTCACACCCCACCCTTCCAAGGCAGGACTGTGTAATTCAAGTTCCAGAGGAAGCTTTAGCTTTTCCACCCAGGTATCTGATGTTCAGTGAAGGAGATCTGTGACTGCACAGAAACCTCAACCATTCATATAAACCAAGTTTCATCCCTTTTTATACAGTTAAGGCTAAAAATCCCTCTTACAACCCCCCCCTCTTGCCTTATGTGGAGCAAAGAGAGGACCCCTCTTTCATCAGTAGCTTGAAACAGCCAAACCATGGAGACAATCCAAGCCCCTCATCAGCACAGAGCAGGATCTTTGTTCTCATCCAAATGCTCCTTGTGTGTGTGTATTCAGAGCTCCCCCAAACACTCCAGTGTTTACAGTGCATAAAGCCCTTTATTTTAAGAATAAAACATTTACCCCGTGGTGAACGTAGTTCTCCCCAAAGAACTGCTTCATCACATGTTTTCCAAAGTCCACGATGTTTTGCAGATGGTGTAGTATTTCCTCTGAAGTCTGGAAGACAGAAACGTGGTAATTTAGCCGCGAGATAATGATAAACAACACTCCAGAACACATACACATGCTGGTCAGTGATTCAGCAAACAGCCTAATTGCTGAGCTTGGTAGGTCAGTGCACACTGAAATTAAACAGGCACATCAAACTACGTGTGTTTCTGCCTCAGGGGCTGGGACAAACGGAGAAACAGCCAGAGAGGTGATGGGGGGAAAAAAGAGAGAGAAAATGACAAAGGTGGAAGAGGGGGAGGTTACTCAAGATCTACTCTGCCTTTGATGATTATTCTTAAAACAACTCAAAGAATTCTAGTAGTCCAAAGGGGTGCCCAGCAGGCCCTCCTACCAACAGCTGGAGCGCAGGAGAGGCTTGGAGTGTTACCAAATACCTCATGGAGATTGGGAAGGGAATGGCTGGAGAGACTGAGACTCATCTTGCACTACTCAAGAATACAGATTATCCCTAAAAAACATCTTCTCCTCTGTCACATTGCTAGGTACAAGTTTGTCCCAAAACTCTGATTCTCCAGGATTTGTTTACTGATCTGAAGATAAAGTATTTAGTTTACTGTTCTGCTCCAAGAAAAAAATTATCCTTAAAAAAAAAAAATCACCAAGATAAGTAAATATATTCAATTACAAAGTCATCTATTTAGAGGAAACTGTGTATCACAATCCCAACCCAAGGCAAATGCAGAATGCTGGAGCTGGGCACAAGCCTTTTTTCCTCATGTCCATAAAACTACATGCAATGCCAAAGTACTCCACAGCAGCATTATCAACCCCCCTGCTGTAGTGTGGAACTGAAAAGTCATTTCCTGGCTGCCTTTGTGACTTTGTCACACTGTCAATTTTTTAAAAACAATTACTATGTAACAATCTCTTCCAACTTAAAAATTAAAAAAAAAAAAAAAAGGAAAAAAAGTTGGTACTTAGTGTTTTGTCTTCTTAAATAAACTGCAACAGACTGACTTTATAATTAAAGTTGGGTTCTAGTTCTCCCTTGTTGTATTAAAAATTGAGATAAGCACTGTTTCCTTTGCAATCCACTGGGCTCTTCCCTGTTCTTGTTAACACTCTAAACATTATTATCTTGGGCTACTACAGAAGCACAAGATACATTTTTGAAACCATGCCACCCCAAGCAGCTCAGAAAACAACTTGAATCACACTTTAGTTTTACCAGACTTTTTTTCAAGTCAAATAGTAGCAGAAAGGCCATCAAATAACTCACATATACATTGTGTTTATGGGGTCTTGCCCTCCTCTGCCTTACTTGAGAAACTTCTCCTTTGCCCCTTGATAAACCGAATGTTTTTCACATTCATCTTCATGATTTAAAGCAACAAAATACCCTTTCTATGTTGTCTTTACATTCATCCTTCTTTCTTTTCTCCTGAAATTAAGCACACACCCCCCAGCTCTCAGCAGAGTCTCAATGCTTTTTATATTTCTGTCACCAGAAGAACCCACCAGTGGCACTGAACCTCACAAAGCCACATTCAGGAGCTGCTGTAACTCCACCATTCCCCTTATCTCTCAGGTAACACACCCTAAAGACTTCTCCTGAGGGTGAGGAAATGAAAGAATTTGAACCTTGTGCTCTCTTTTTTTATTTTTTTTCCCCTTGGAACACTGTGTTTACCCTCCACCTTTGCTTCTTGATCATTTTTTATCCTTGTTAAAAGAAATCTGAAGTAAAACTCACTTCAGTTGCTTCTCGAGCAGAAAAACTTTAATTCTGCCATCCATGAAACTGGGAGACTGTGTCCTGTTCTTTACAACAGACAGGACTAAAATCACTCACTGACAAAGGTTATTCTGTGAATATTTCATGTGTTTGTTCACATTCCATGGCTTTTTAGCTACTGAATGGGTGGTCAGACAGACCTGTACCATGACACCAGCCCTGAGTGCTCCTGTTCTGTCCCAGCTAAGAACAACCAGTAAAACTCACTTCTTCCTCAGCATCCCTGCACTCCTGTCCGTGGATATGGAACATTCCCACTGTCTCTGTGCCACAGAAAGCTGTCCCCTCTAACACATGGCAGTCCCACACCCTGCCCCACACACAGGTCCTGGTATCAGCACTCACACCATCCTACTTACGTAAGGCGACCTCAGATTTCCTCCTGAACCAACCCCCCCGAAACACATTTCAAAACATCCCCTTACTGTTACTCCTGCCAGTCACAGCTCCTGCAGGGGTTTCTTGTTTCCCCTCACACTGGCTATTAGTTTACCTGAGGGCTTTTAGCAAAGGGATGTGTCGACTCTTACCTTGGTCTGGTTGGGGGGGGACTTGAGGAACCGCAGCACCACACAGCGCTGGAGGGAGACAGCAGAGAGTAGGGTTTCGTTAGCATTTCATCATTTATGAACAGCACAATTGTCTGATCCCCCACCCTACCCCTCCTGAGAAATTAAGGGGGAAAAAAAAAAAAAAAAAGAAAAGCAAGATGGGAATTTTAGATGGTTATTGCACTCAGCTTGAAATCAAATACACCGACTGAAATCAAGCACAGCAGCGTCTGCTGCCAGCTCTGCCAGCGGTTTAATGAGGCTGCTGCTGCATTTCCATCTACCAGGTGGGCACCAGGGAAATGCTCCCCCAGCTCACAGCACTGCTCTGGAAACCTGGGAATGCACAGTATTGACACCACCACCACCACCATGGCATTTGTGCATCAAAGGTCGTGGGGCACAAAGGGAAACAAGACCCACTTCACTCCCAGTGTCAGCACAGCATCACAAAATCTCACAGGGACACTTTCCACCAGCAGCAGCTACACAGCTGTACTTCCAAACAGTAAACGCTGTAACTGCTACACTTCCACAGAGTAAACACCTAACACAGGGATAAATGCAGCAGGTTTCCAAATCTTTTACCTTAAAACCACAGAAAATTCACTAATTTCTGTCATTTTTACATTTTTATCAGCTTTTAACAATTCAAAAACCTTCATATTTTCAAAGTACACTAATTCTAAAAACATCCTCAGCCTTTATTTTTTAATAGTTCAGATTAAAATTCTTCATAATTAGTCCTTTCTCTTCAAAAGCCTATTGAGTGTCTTCCATCACAGAAGCCACGTGACGTAAAAAAAATCTTGCTGAAATTTAACCATTAAACTTAGTAAAAAGACTTTTTGTATTAAAATCAAATTTTGATGTGGTATTAAGTAACCTGCAGGCTTATCAGGCAGGGCTATGTGGTAACAGAGCCCTGCTGAGCCTGTAGCTCTGTGTGCAGGCTGTTGTTGTACACTGTTTCAAGTGCTTGGATCTCCTGCTTTAATTATTCATAAGCAAGTGGATCAGTGATGGAGTGATGTGATTATCACTTCTCATCCATTCAGAAACATGATTCTGTCTCTCAAGGCTGGTGTAGATATTTATCTGTTAATCAGTTCCCAGCCAACAAGGTTCCAATCATTGCTCTGGAACACCCAATTGCTCTCATGGGACTCACTAGGTATTAGTTCATTACCAAGTCATTTCCGAAGAGGTGCAGCAGGAGAAAATGACCAAAGTTATACATGGCAAAAGGAGAACGTGCTGCTTGTCTAAAGGTGTCAAAAGCAAAGAGCAAAGTTCAAACAAACCTTCACAAAATTACAGGTTGTTACTGGTGTTCACCCCAGTCACCCCACGCTGCGCCTCACCAGGGCTTTCAGGTGATCAGAGCAAAACAAAACCCAACAAAAAAAACACACCCCAAACCTGAAAACAAACCTCAAAAAACCCCAAAACACTTGTTCCCCTTCCTTGGGGCAAGTTTTCAGCTGGATCCTCTCCTCTGTGCAATCCAACACACAGTTACACAAACACACTGCCACAGCCCCAAGTTAACCCATCCGATGTCACAGATGCTTCAGAATTACCACCACCCAAAATACTGGCCCACATTTTCATGATATTGAATTTCTGATTCACTTGAGTGATTCTTTACTTGGAAATACTGTGGGTGGTTGTCACCACGAGGTTGTTTTTTTTTTCAGTTAACTTAAATGCCTTAGATTATTTTTTTTTTATATATATTTACAGATTGAACACCATAGATGTTCCATGCTCATCTGCGTGCATGGAAATGGCCCAAACCCAGATCTCTCAGGAGGTTGTCACTACTCCTTAAATTCTTGAAGAATCAGATCAACTAAATTTCATTCTCCACAAGCAGTGGAAGGGCTTACAGAGGTGCTAACATCACTTCCATCAAGGCACCACCACCATCAGAGTATTTAGTTAGCTGGGTAATAGTCCCAGACACACAAACAGATGAAAAATGCAGGCTGCAAGGAGAGAAAAAAAAAAAGATACAGTGTATGGGGGTAGGCAAATGTAACACATGGAACATTAAAAGGTTTGACACCTTTTGAAGTAAGACGAGCTGGAAAAATAGTGAATTTAAAGGGAGAACTCTCTCTACCGTTGTTTTTTTTTTTTAATCCTGCATATGTCCAATACCCACTTAGTGACAAAAGACTAAAAAAACCCAACCCATCAGAACAAACACGACTGCTCTTACTCTCAGATAAAGAATTCAAGGGCGACTCTCACACGAGATTCTCACATGAGAGCACAGCAGCTCAACAGCAGATAACAAACAATGTCCTCCGGGGCTCCAGGACCATACCCTAACTACTGCGACATTCCCAATTGTCATGGGAAGCTCAAAACAAACACTGGCAACAAGGATACCAAAACTGGTGCCTCTGAAAACACATCCACAGGGGCTGTAACCAGGAGTTTCCCAGAGGAGCACTATCCTAGGCCACAGCCTTTTCAGACTCCAGCCCGAAGCTTACGGTCCCATCAAGAAAGGTAAACACTTCATGAGCACCCTGTAACCAAACAATTGTTTGGTGAAAGCAGGAGGAAGTTAATCGTTGCCAATAAGCAGAGAAGAAGCTGTGGGAGGGGCTGTGAAAGCACTCAGAGAAGTCCCTGCATCACAGAACCACAAGGATGTGAACACACACAGATCCTGTGCTCGTGTATCCTGGGGAAAAACAGTGCTGGTCTTAGTCCCCAAAACGTTACCTGCAAGGATTTCTCTTCTCCAAAGCAGTTACTGCAGCTATTAATTTAATCTTACTTAGTGAAATCCAAAAAAACAAAGTAATCCTTGGTAGCTCGGCCAAAATATGACTGGGCACCAATCCAGGTACTTTGGATTAGGCAGTAGCATTATGAAACCAGGATAAAAGCTTACATTTATTCCTTTACAGCTTGATGTTTGATAGTGGCCTTATTTTATGACCTCACTATCATACAATGCAGGCCTCTTGAACTGGAGAGTTTTCACGAGTGAAGCACAACTGGGACAAACCCATAGTCTTGATATTCCTCTTGAGGGAACAGCCTCGTTTGCATCACTGAGGTTTTCAGTCGGATTTCCATCTCTTGCTACATTAGCACCAAAATCTGTGTAAGAGATGGTGATAGTGAAAGAAACAGGAGAAACTGTATAAAAACAAGCTCAACTGCTGGTAACAATGTTTAGAATTGTAAAGATGTGTGTTTTCCTTCTGCTGTTACCACCTCAGTTCACGTGGGTTTAAAATAAGCTTCTGTACAAAAATATAAGGAATTAGCCAGTCCAAACACAAAGCCTGGGAAACATCAGCTTCTCCTTTCCCAAATAAGCAGGTTCACGTCATTTGTTATTACTCCATTATTATTCTAACCAGCACGCATTAACTGCCTTTGTCTGGAGGCAGAGCACTACCCTGACATCTCCTTCTGCCACTGCACAAGATTCCCATCTAGCTGATTACCAACCTGTGTTCACATCTGCAAGATCCACTGGCAGAAAACAAGACACTTCAGGAAGGAACTTTTTAAGTCCCCAAAGGAACTCCACCCCTCTTCCCACACCCATCATCTCCCTCACTCCACACAGTCTCCTAAATTCTGGCATCTAAAAGCTCACCGGTATTTTTGCAAGCACTACCTGCAAATTTACATCACAGAGTCACCTGCCTGTCTACTACACCCTGTTGTTTGAAAAGGCACACGATATACAAACAGGACAAGAAATCCCACACTCCTTTTACAGTTGTCCATATAAAAGTCTCAAGCTTGCAGTCATAAGCATGGGGGAGAACACTCTCCAAGGCTGGTAATAAATCTTTCCCTACGATTCTTACTGGACTATTTTTTGCAACCAATTAAAAACATCACCAACCAACTGCCAAAGGAGATGAAGATAAGAAGGCAAATTTACTTCTAGAAAAAACTGTGTCTGTAAAGGCCCATGAATTTCTTTATACAGTCAAAACTGGTTGTTCAATTCGTTGTCCTTTGATGACACTCAAGAGCTACCAAGAACTTACCAAACACGGCTCGGAGGGTTCCAGACCTCCTGCCACCACTGTAATTATTCACCACCACCTAATCACTGGGGATTGATGGCTGTGCACAGCCACAGAAAGTACATTCTATCTACATTTCAGTCAAAGGGAGGGAGCCAAACTGAACACAGGGACAGGCAAATACTAATTAATGGCTGTTTCAATGGCACTCCACATGAACTGTGGAGCTGTTGCGCTGGTATTAAGCTATCCCTGCAGTAGCACACTGGAGCTGCATGCACTACATGTCAACTAAAAAAATTATTCTGACAACTCTTATTCTAAATCTGCATTCCACAGCCCCTTCAATTCCAACTCTAGCTTGAGGGATTTGAACAGAAAACTGTGGTGGTCTATTCAGAAAATGCAATTTCTGGGAAGCAGGAAAATGGACCAAGAGGTGTTATAGTCACATCTCAGAAAAGACAGGGACACAGAGGAGAGTTCCTCCTTCTGAGAACTGATAAAACTCAGGAAAAACATGCCCATCATGCTGCCCAGGCACTTCAGCCAAAGCTTACCTTCATGATACTCAACACGAGACATTTTTAAAGGTCTCCTCATCCAGGGTGCTGTGCCATGTGGAGGGATGTGAGAGTTGGAAACAAACTAAGTGCTAGAAAATGTTGCAGCTTTTGAATGAAGTGCACATGGCAGTATTGTACACAACTGTTGTTTTCCAGCCCAGTTTTGTTCTGCAGAAGGTGGATAAGATCACACAAAACAAAGCGAGGAAAGCTACACTTCCTGCCCGTATGGAGGAAGTTTAGCAACTGCTCACACACAGCGCAAAGAAGCATTCAGAAATCAGAACAATACTCTTTTATTTAGCATAGGAGTCCTTGAGTAACAATGTTTTGATTTCTTTGCATGAATAAAGAATCTCTGGTGTAGCACCTGGCTTGACACCATTCAACAGGGCAAACCATTATTTGAGAGCAAACCCCCCACGATACTGGTTTCCTTTAGCAC